AAGTGAACATTTCTTTTATAAAATTGACAATATCTTGTAAAACATTCAATTTTCGTTATACATTTATACTTTTTATGCACGGAATAATGAGACCAATCAATAGATGCAAAGAAAACACAGTTGCAAAAGACGTATGTAATTTTCAAGAAGCAACTGCCCAGCAAACAACATTATAATTGCTATATAACACGTAATTAACGTGCATGTAACATGTAACATACACGTTAGTTGTAATTTCCCACTTATGGATTCTATTATTTATTGTAATTATATCCTAGATAGGATAGTGACTTAGCGAAAGATTATCTTTCGGCATCCTACAATATCAATGCTATCTGGGATGTAATTACAATATATAAATAACATGTCATACGAGGGTCACTATTTATATTTCAGGAATTGGCAACACTGATGTCATGTGAGTCCATCTGACGGTTCCATCGTAAAGTTTGACATTTCGACGATATACGTACTTAGAACATTTTGTCATACGGACGCTATTTGTTTATTTTATATTTAGTTGAAAGTTTCGTCTCGGCAAAAAATGGAACTGAATCGTGAACATTTTCGTGCGATGATTTTTTACGACTTTCGACGTGGATTATCACAACAAGAGTGCGTCAATCAACTTAATTTGACTTTTGGCGATGAAGCTCCATCAAAAACCACTGTGTATCGCTGGTATAGTGAATTCAATCGTGGTCGTAGTTCGCTGTCCGACGAGTTTCGTGAAGGTCGTCCAAAATCGACTGTAGTGCCAGAAAACATCGATGCTGTGCACGAAATGATTAAGCAAGATCGTCATGTAACCTATTGTGAGATTGAGGCATCCCTAAGCATTAGTTCCACCAGCATATATGCGATTTTACATGAACACTTAGCTGTGCGAAAGTTATGTTCGCGTTGGATCCCACATAATTTGACAATCGCTCAAAAAAGGCTCGTGTCGATTGGTGCAAAGAAATGCTTAAGAAATACAATCGCGGTGCTTCAAAAGACGTTTATAAAATCGTGACAGGTGACGAATCATGGATATATTCGTATGAGCCCGAAAGTAAGCAACAGTCGACTGTATGGGTGTTCCAAGATGAACCAAATCCAACAAAAGTTGTTCGCGCACGAAGCACTTCAAAGAAAATGGTGGCCTGTTTCTTCGGAAAAACTGGTCATATTGCAACAGTGCCTCTAGAGGATCGTAGAACAGTAAATTCTGAGTGGTACACAACCATCTGTTTGCCAGAAATCTTCGGTGAAATAAGGAAAACAAACAAGAGACGTCGGATTGTTCTTCATCATGACAATGCGAGCTCTCACACTTCGGCTCAAACAAGAGACTATTTGAGCACTCAAAACATCGAATTGATGGGTCATCCGCCGTACAGCCCTGATTTGGCACCCAATGATTTCTTTTTGTTCCCATCCGTGAAGAATAAACTGCGTGGTCAACGATTTTCATCGCCCGAAGAAGCTATTGAAGCGTTCAAAAATCATGTTTTGGAGATACCTCATTCGGAATGGAATAAATGCTTTGAAAATTGGTTTAAGCGCATGCAAAAGTGTATCGATCATCGTGGCGAGTACTTTGAAAAACAATAAAAATATATTCGCAGCTTAACTATTTGTTTTTGTTCCTATTCCCGAAATATAAATAGTGACCCTCGTATTACAAATGTTACATCTATGAGTGAGAAATTACCGTATATGTTACATGTAACATGCACGTTATATAGTATTATATACATGTAACATAGCAGTTATATTTTGTGTTTGCTGGGTGCATTTTCTTTACACCAAATTGGTCTCATTATTATGTGCATAAAAATAAAAAGTATGATAACGTAAAACTGAATATTTTACAAAGATATAATTTTATGTCAAACAATTGCTTCGAATCTTGTTTGCCACAGAAATTTCGATTCAATCTTGCGAAGCGTTGGGAAATAGCGTTGTGAGATAAAAGGAAAAATACACAGATAATTAGTCAATTTCACTCAATTTACTCAATTTTAATACAGATCGAGATTTGATTCACTAACAATTAGTGAGGACTCTAAACACGAGTATATCTCGTCGAGGCACGAAGCAGAGTGAGTCTATCAAAACAAGCTTCGGAATGTATCGATTCTCAATGGAAAGGGTTTTTCGAATCGGCAGCACTCAATTGGTGCTGTCCCCACAATCCCTAAGATAAAGTTCTTAATTTCGGCGCTCAATCACGAACATACCGCCCGACTCGTACTTTTAATGGTACAAAACATACTTCTTTTATGAATCAGCTAACAACTAGTTTCTATAAACTACGAACCATTGCTTAATTACAAAGTTTTTTTTTGCTTAATACTTAACACTTAATAGTATGTGTAGAAAAAAAATAAAGAGAATTATCCTGTTTTTACAAGGAGATAAGAAGAATTCTGTACTTCACTAATTTACTTAACTAATCAATGTACTTAATAACTAAGTAATGCACTTAACTAATTACCGCCCGACGTCGCGAATTATCTACGAGATATCGATTGGAAGTCGACATAATTGAGATATCGGACGTTTGATGACATGTGAAGTGGTCTTCACTTTCGCAACTCTCACGAATCCCTTTTCGTCTGGGAATACATTTATGACACGCCCCAACTCCCATTTAGACGGAGGCAGCAAATGGTCACGCACTATAACTAAATCATTAATCTTTAGATTAGGTTGTTCTTTCTGCCATTTATACCGTTGTTGTAAGGTGTGCAAATAGTCCTGCGACCAGATACGCCAAAATTGTTCCAGCATACGTCATATACGCTGCCAACGACTCAGGCGTGATTCTTTGAGATTCAGAGTAGACTCATCAGGTACAGTTACTAACGGTCCACCTGTCAGGAAATGTCCCGGGGTAAGAGGAGTAATATCCGTCGGATCGTCAGTCAGTGGAGCAATTGGACGTGAGTTAAGGCAAGCTTCTACTTAAGTCAATAATGTGGTAAACTCTTCCACAGATAACGTATGTAGGCCTATTACACGTTTCAAATGATATTTTAGTGACTTTACGCCAGCCTCCCATATGCCACCAAAATGAGGGGCGGCCGGGGGAATAAATTGCCAAGTCGTCCCGTCTGAGGCTAAATGTGCAATTAAATCGGCATCACAAGTTAAAGCTTTAAATATACGAGCGAGCTCTCGTTGTGCTCCCTGAAAATTAGTACCATTGTCACTCAGCATTAGTGTAGGTATACCACGGCGAGCTACAAATCTACGAAAGGCTGATAAGAATCCATTCGTGGAATAATCATTAACTAATTCTAAATGTACGGCTTTAGTAGCCAGACAAACAAATACTGCAATATAAGCCTTGTGAGTCCGTTGACCGCAACCTACTAGAGGCAATATTTGAACCGGTCCGGCATAGTCTACACCACAATTTTGAAAGGGACGAGCTGGTTGAACCCGTGTCTCCGGCAGGTTACCCATAATCTGCTCAATAGGTAATGCCTTTTGTCGCGCGCATTTGACACATTGATAGATGTGATGTTTAACAATATTACGTGCTTGTAGGATCCAAAAATTTTGTCTTAGAACTCGTAATGTTAACTGCGATCCCCCATGCAGGGCTTGCTTATAAGCGTGATCAACTATGAGTTCTGAAATACGGTGACGAGGGAGTATTATAGGATGCTTCTCATTATACGACAACATGGAGTGATGTAATCGACCACCAACTCTTAATAGACCTTGGGAATCCAGAAATGGACTCAAATTTTTCAATTTACTCGACTTGGACAACCCTTGACGTAATCTAACAGCTCTAATTTCGGACTGAAAATGAACACCTTGGACATAAGCAATCCAAAATTCCCTGGCTCTTCGAATGTTGTCAGAGAAAGAGTTTTCACTTAACAAAGAAGTGTCCTTAACGCTTGCTATTCTATGCTTCAGACAATTCTTAAATAAGATACAATAAGCGATAACTTTAAGTAGTTTCGGCCAAGATAAAATTGTTGAGGTAACTCCCATTCTAGATTTGTCCTTTGAACTAAATGCACAGGAACGGAGCGTTGCTCCGCCGCGACGTCTAAAGTTAATACCGTGGGTTGAGCTGGCCAGGTAGTGGTATGATTGTGTAACCAAGGCGGGCCTTTTCACCATAAAGGGTGTCTAAGTAATTCCTTTGCCAAGATGCCTCGTGATGCACAGTCAGCTGGATTATTTTTAGTGTCAACATGCTTCCATTGTGCGGACGGAAGACGCGTTTGTATTTCCGAAGTTCTGTTTGCCACAAATGGCTTCCAATGAGAAGGATGTTGTTTAATCCAAGCAAGAGTAACTATAGAGTCTGACCAGCAATAACAAGGAATTTGCAAGCCTAAAATTCCTTGCACATATTCCATTAATCTTTAGTAGAATCGCAGCGCATAATTCTAATCGAGGTATGCTAATTGTTTTAATGGGAGCAATCTTAGATTTAGCTACAAGAAGTGTCACGCTACAGGATTCTAATAAAGAAGTACGAAGATAATAACCGCAGCGTAAGCGCGGTTAGAGACGTCTGCAAATCCGTGCAATTCACATTCAGAAAGGGGAACTTGTTGCGTCCAACGTGGTATTGAAAGCGCTTTAATACAATCTAGATTTTGACAGAAGAAAGACCACCGTTCCGCAAGGTCGTTAACGAGAGGTGCGTCCCACTCAACCTGTCTAATCCAAAGCTCTTGCATAAAAATCTTAGCAGTTATTATCACAGGAGTAATCCATCCTAATGGATCGTAAAAGCGAGCTATAATGGATAGCACAGTACGTTTAGTCAAACGTTCAATTCCAGTAACTCGTGTATTAAAATTAAAACAATCTGTTTTGAGGTTCCAATTGATACCTAGCACCTTCACGGATGATTCCTCTTCCAACGGCATATTATCTAATTTAATACGATCTGAAATAGGAATATTATTTAGTAGTTCGTCATAATTTGACGCCCATTTTCGCAAATGAAATCCTCCCTTCTCTAATAAACAAATTAGTTAACGTCGAATCTCCAGAATGGAGGTGACGTCGTCCGCTCCGAATAAAACATTATCTACATAGATGGAATTTTTCATCACCGTTCTGGCAAGAGGATAATCATCTCCCTCATCCTGAGACAATTGATGTAATACCCTCATAGCGAAAAATGGCGCCGAAGCGGTTCCGTAAGTAACAGTTAACAATCGATAATGATCGACGGGTTTGTCCGTTTTCGATCGCCAGAGAATCCTTTGGTAATCAGCGTCATTCGAATGTACGAGTATTTGCCGAAACATTTTTGCAATGTCGGCGGTAAATATCAAACGATGTGTGCGCCAACGCATTATTATTGAGGGAAGATCATTCTGAAGCTTAGAGCCAGGCAAGAGATGATCATTGAGCGATGTCCCATTGAAAGTAGAGCTAGAAGCATTAAAAACTACTCGCAACGGCGAAGTACTGCTGGATTCTTTTAAGACTGAATGATGCGGAATATATAGAGAAGGACGTAATGGCATCTCATGGGATTTAATAGGAATCATATGACTTAGCGTCTCATAGTCGTTTAAGAATTCATGATATGACAAACTCAATTGAGTATTTCGTGCTAAACGTCGTTCTAATTTTTCCAGTGATTTAGCAGCAGTTGTATAGGATTCACCAATATCAATTGGAAGACTGCTCTTAAATGGCAGACGTACTATATATCGTCCGTTGGACAATCGAGAATAAGTGGAAGAAAAATGTTTTTCACATTGCTTCTCCTCCTCCGATAATATCGTGTGAACAACAGAAGTTTCTTCGATCTCCCAAAAACGTTTTAAGCATGAGTGGATTTCAGAAGACGCGGCACAATGTAGGCTGGCTACACTAATGTGATGAACGGATCGATTCTCCAAAAGAGTTCCAAACAATATCCATCCAAAGATCGTTTGTTGTGCTACAGGAGAGTCCCTAGGCCCTCTTCGTAGGCCCTCCAATAAGATCAAGCCATACAAATCAGCACCAATCAACAAATCGATAGGCTCTCGGTTAGTAGGATCTGGATCCGCTAATTGCAATCCCTGCAAATGAACGTGTTGATTACACATTGACTGAACAGATTGATACGAAGTTAGTTTAGAAAAAACTAAGGCATGGACGGGTAAAGATTCCTGCCTGTTGCATGAATTTAAATGTAAATAAACAATGTAATTTGCAAATCCCGTTGACTGACCTCCCAATCCAAAGACCTCTATATGAGTTCTCTTACGTTTTGCTTTAAGTAGTTGTACTACTCTTTCGGTGACAAAAGTGGCTTCCGAGCCAGGATCAATCAAGGCACGAATGCTGAGTGAACGACCATTTTCAGAAATTACTGACACGCGAGCCGTAGCAAGAAGAATAGAATTTGATTTTCCGTAGTTCTTAGAAACAAAAACCCTTAACGCTTGACTAATAGCAGTAGTTTCACTCACTGATGTCTCAGTCGACGTTGATTTATTCGGACTGGTAGTCATCTTACCGGTATCCTGATCATTATCATTCTCATAATGAAGCAGCGAATGGTACCTACGTCGGCAGCGTATACAACGTCCTTGATATGAACAGTCGCACGGTAGATGTCCCGGTCGTAAACAATTAAAGCAGCAACGATGTTGTTTCATCAAAGTACGTCGCTGTTCCGCTGAAAGAAACTTAAATTGAGCGCATTGCGATAACAAATAAGAGGATTGACACGACAAGCATTTCGAAGATGATACAGCAAATACGTGGGACTTATGGTAGTAGTTATAGAACGATTTGATTTAATCATTGAATAATCATTCAAAGGATGAGCGGCTTCTAAGGTACGTATTCTAACAGAAAGAAAATTATTCAACTTGTTATAGGATGGTGGTTCGATTGAATCACCCAAACTCAGCTCCCATTCCTTTCGCGTTCAAGAGTCTAAATGCTGCACAATCTGGAAAACTAATAAATCGTCCCAGGTATCTACCGGTCTGCCAAGATTACGCAACGCAACAAGCGCATCATTAATAATATCACGAATATTTTTTAAGGCTGCTACTGATTCCGATTTCATCGGAGTAATACTGAATATAGTTTGTAAATAAGAAGTAATAATAGCGCGTTGATTCTCATATCTGTTCTTTAGTTCGATCCATGTCGTTCGATAATTTGCGTCGGTAATGGTTACATTTTTAATAACTAAGCTAGCCTCATCTGTAAGGCTTGTTTTCAAGTAATGTAATCTCTGTACATTGGAAAGACTTTCATTATTAGCAACTAGAGATTCAAAGAGATCTCGGAAGTTAGCCCAATCAATATAACGACCCGAGAATTTGGGCAATGTTATGCGAGGTAATTGAATCGCGGTTGTATTAGTATCACTAATTATAGAAGAGTCGCTAGTATTGGCAGTAGCCGTCGCAACGGTTTAATCAACTTATTCAGTATTTCCGTCAAATAGTCCGATGCAATCATATAGGCTTCTTCAGCCAGGAGAAACTCCTCATCAGTGAAGTACGGCTTCTCTCGCTTCTTGATTGTCGCAGCAATTTCAATTTCTACATGGAGACGTTGACATTGTTTCCAGTGATCCTTTAGAATTTGTATACGATTACGTAGAACCGCTGGAGTCCAATTCTTCTGCCCGATCTTCTTTAGATTCTCCACAGTACGGTTAACAAGGCCGAACATGACACGCTGTTCAGCTAGGTGACGTTCCATATTTCGAGAGCACCGTATATATGAGCAAAATCGTATTTAGAAATTCGCCTGTCAATATTGACGAATAATGTCTATTCAAAGCACAGGTAGAAAAACACTGAACGTAAACACAGACGTTCGTGCTACGTCCTTATCGGAACGCTCGTAGCTCGTGTTATACGGCGATAATTATCTGCTTCGATTAATTAACTGTGTTAATAATGTGTAGTTCAAGTAACTCACAACGCTCGTTGCAGTCTCTGGAATCTTATGAAACTCCCACAGCACTCGTTAATACATCGCCGACGAAAGATCCGGCTCGAAGGACCAATTGTTTGCCACAGAAATTTCGATTCAATTTTGCGAAGCGTTGGGAAATAGCGTTGTGAGATAAAAGGAGAAATACACAGATAATTAGTCAATTTCACTCAATTTACTCAATTTTAATACAGATCGAGATTTGATTCACTAACAATTAGTGAGGACTCTAAACACGAGTATATCTCGTCGAGGCACGAAGCAGAGTGAGTCTATCAAAACAAGTTGTGGAATGTATCGATTCTCAATGGAAGGAATTTTTCAAATTAGCAGCACTCGATTGGTGCTGTCCCCACAATCCCTAAGATAAAATTCTTAATTTCGGCGCTCAATCACGAACAAATCTTTATAATTCAAAAAGTACTTCATTAAAAAAATGTTTTATTATAATGCTTTGGAAAGCTGTCGAGATAAGCTACAAGAATATGTACTAAAAAATAAAGGATTTTAAAAATTAAGTTGACTTATAAATGATCTCAAAATTTGACACCTAGGTAAAAGTCAACACCTTTAGTATTTTTTTCATAAGACCACTATTTTCGGAGATAATTGGCCATTGCCAGACTTTTGAATCACCATGTACATATTATATATATGTTTATGCATGGATATATGCATCTATATACATGTATATATACGTATATATTTCTTACATATATAAATGCATGCATAAATGCATACATATATACAAATACATATACACATACATGTATACGCATACGTGTATGGTACATATATTGATATTACCTGTAATTTTCTATAAATTACAATGTATGCAGTATGCACAATTCGCTTTTCTCCTCTTATCAATAATTGAGAAAATAGCAAATATATTCAACTAACCAGCTGTATATTTTTATATAATATAACAGAATATTATATAACATACAAAACATTTTTATGCATATATAGAATGAAATGGGCCCCTCCATCGCCCATTCCCGTGAGAACGCAACCATAATATGTATTTTTTTTCATCTCTCCGATTTTTGTAAATGAGACATTTGTATTAGACACTTTTTTGCAACAATATTTATTAGAATTACACATTTCTAGTATAATGATAAATTTTTATTAGTTAGGAAAAGGCGACAGTTTATTTTCTGCTATAATTTTTAAGAAATGTTGTCTCATACGTTTAACATCAGCAGAATATGTCTCATTACAAGGATTTCCTCCTAAAGCTATAGTTGTAGCAAATGTGGCAGCAAAGATTCCACAACATATACCATCAGGTTGTGTTTGAACGTTTTCAAATATTATATTATTTTATTTATTTGTGGATAACGGCGATGAATGTAATTTTTTTCTTTAGCCTTCAATGTTTCGTATGTACAGTCAGATAGACTGTCGTACACTCGAAGCTTAGTGCCGTCAAAAGAAATACATCGCCAGTGATTACTGCAATTTCCTCCTATAATTTGTAAGCTTTTGTCGTTACAACTTGCTTCAATTATATGAGGGTATAAAATATCTTTTTTTAATAACTAGAACGCACATGCAAATCGTTCTGGGAGAAGATATTTTAGAAACAACTAACAGACGAATAAATCGTCTCTGATATAAAATATCTTTTTTTAATAACCAGAACGCACATGCAAATCGTTCTGGGAAAAGATATTTTAGAAGCAACTAACAGACAAATAAATCGTCTCTGATATAAAATATCTTTTTTTAATAACCAGAACGCACATGCAAATCGTTCTGGGAGAAGATATTTTTAAAGCAACTAGCAGACGAATGGATCGTCTTTGGCATGAAATATCTTTTTTTTGTTACTACTGCAACTTTATAACTATATATTAATATTGTACTATTGTAACTACTATTTATTATTACTATAATATTTCTACTACTAACCACTATTAAAATAAGCAAGAGACTGCTTTATTTTTCAGAAATTGTTACTTTTAGAAATATGTATATGTATATTGTTATGTCCGTGTTACGCCCGTTTGACGATACGTCCCTGTATTTGCGATCGTCAGGATCTTCTATCAGGGTCTTCTATCGTCGTTTAGAAGCTGTTTATGTTAATCGTTGCGTTTTTGTTCTGGTTTGTCTGTCGTGCGGTGAGGACGTATCCTCCGACAGCTGATCGGCCGACATATTGCATTAGGATTAATGCACGTTATATATATTGTATCGCTACGGTATATTGGCTTGTATTATTAAAGTTCATTGCTTTGCTACGCGAGTGTATTCATTTCTGGCGTGTGAGAGTTTGAGTGCGCGCGACATTTCTGTGAGGTAACCCAAAGAGTGCGCGCGGACGTAAACCAACATATATTATGTAAAAAAAAATTTATAACAATTGAACCCCATAAATATTGAATAAGAATGAAGAAGATGAATGTTTGTATGTATGTATGTATGTGTATATATACGCAGGAATGTCCTGCAACGTGATATCCACAGTGAAACTTTGTATTCTTGTGATTATTCAAAAAATAAGATGATTTTAAAATTTGCAAGATTTCTTCATCTATAAATTATTTGCGATATTCTAATGATACCCCCTTTCTTTATAATATATATATATATATACACACAACACATATATATATATATATATATACAGGGTATCCCCAAAAAGATGGAACACTGAAAAATCTCGAAAAGTATACGTTTTACAGAAAAAAGTTTTAGACAAAAGTTATAAAAAATCTATTCATTGATCTGATCAGTTGATTTTGGACAGTGTTACCAAGGTCAGAATAAGGTTACCTTAAATTTCTTAAATGGAATCCTATATTTTTATTACACATCTTGTAGTTATCTCGAGGGCTTTCCAAAACACTATAATAAAATAATTTTATAAAGTGCTCTTTGAGTTATAAAGGTTAGAAGCTAACAATTTTTGACATAAAATATATCTTATAAAATATTCCATTTTCGATAATCATACCTACTTTTTTGCACAGTATAATAAGAAATCAATTTATTAAAGAAAACAGATAATTGAATATGTAATATTCAATATGCATACTTTTTTTATAAGCAACTATGTGTTTTTTTACACCAATTTATTGGTCTCATTATTCCGTGCAAAAAGATATGATTACCGAAAATGGAATATTTTACAAAGATATTTTACATTTTATGTCAAAAAATTGTTAGCCTTTATAAATAAAAGAGTACTCCATAAAAAATAATTTTATTAGTGTTTTGGAAACTCTTCAGATAAGCTACAAGAATATGTAATAAAAATTATAGGATTCCATCTAAGAAATTCAAAGTGACCTTATTCTGACCTTGGTAACGCCGTCCAAGGTCAAACTGATAAGATCAATAAATAAATTTTTTATAACTTTTGTCTGAAACTTTTTCTGTAAAACGTATACTTTTCGAGATTTTTCAGTGTTCCGATCCTTTTTGGGACACTCTGTATATATATATATATATATATATATATATATATATATGGTAGATTGTATATTTCCTTTGAAAAATACATGAAAATATGCATATATCATCAAAATATATAAAG